TCTCTCTCTCTCTCTCTCTCTCTCTCTCTCTCTCTCTCTCTCTCTCTCTCTCTCTCTGTTTCTGTCTCTGTCTCTTTCTATGGAACCGATGGAAACGAGGCAAATCCTGGTAAACGTGTCTCTATGTCCCATTCGATGAAGTTCCACGCAGTTTCCACCTCTTTCTCGACCCGATCTTTTCCTCCCTGTGACCGCCTACTTCTCGATCAAATTGCTCGATAGATATTCCTTTTCGAATATTTTGATTGATGAGTAGGGATGGGATCCAGTTTCTATTATATTATTTTAAATCAAGTCTTCCTTTTTTCTTTTTTCGAATTTAGGATGAGTTTAGGATCATTTTAAATCCTCTGTCCACTCGTGTCTCTTTATTCACTCTTTTGAAAATTATTTTATGCCAGGAATTGAAGGAAGATGAAAATTTATTATCTTCAATAAATAGAATTTCTAAATTTCTTTTTTCTTATTCCATATTGGTTGGATAAACGATAAATGCTTTGTAGAAATTGTATTCCAACGTTCGAGGAAAGGTTCTTCATTCTTGCAACGAAAAGCTTGATTAAAAAAAATATATATATACATTCAGAAGATATTTTATATTGGCGGGAAGGAGATCATTCACGCTTCGAGTTTTTCGAGAATTAAAATATATTCTCGATTAAGGGTCATCGTTCGGAAGGAAATCGCGGCTCTGATCCCGTGGTCCCACGAAGCTGCATCAGTGCGTGCATCTGCTTGCACATGCAGGCAATGGCAGCGCGTGTGGGCCGGGCAGATCTTCCGCTGGATTTTGCACGATGACTCACCCCGCGCGACTCGTTCCTCCGATCTGCACTCGGCGAAATATCGAGGAAGCTAAGCTTTCGAATAAACCAACAGTGAGGATTATCACTGTTCCAAGAAAAGGAAGAGTCGCGAGCACGAGATAAAAAAATCGAGAATTGAAAATTTGTGGGAGGGAAAAAAAAAAAAAAGAAAAAGGGGAGTGAAGATTTCTTACAAAAAATTAATCAGAATGATCGACGAAAATTTGTGTTGTGTGAACGAATTAAAAAAAAGCGAATCAATGAAATCGATCGAAAGAAGAGCGTTAAAACGAAATTACACGAAAGAGTACGTATAAAAAATAATCTTCTCGGATATTGTTATTATGCACAAATGTAATTCACGAGTCGCGTTATAATAGATCGAGAAAACATTTTCATCATCCTCCAGTATATTTTCTCTCCGATGAATTGTTAAGCCACGTTTCACGAATCACATTGTCGCTAGGGCATACAATTGCCTGGAGAATTTTATTTTGCGATTTTATCTTCCTTTTTTTTTTTCATCGAAACACGCGTCGATTATTCTCGAGCCCGAGGGAATAAAAAAAGAAAAAATACATAATTATGAAGATAATTATGAAATCTTCCCTGTTTGACTGTATTTAACGCATCCTCCTCGCGTTTCCAAGCATTGAAAGGAACGGGTATGCTCGTTTATTGGAACCTATGGTCGCATAGAAAACGCGCGATAACTCATATATTCACGATTAACGCGAAACCTCGGCTAGTTAGTGTTGCTAGGCACTTGGTGTAATTGCATCCTGACAGTGAATAGATTTACACTTCTGGCTCGGGGATACCAGCTTCTGCCAATATCATTCTCTCTAATCAACCGATTGCAAACGTTATTCATTCGTATACCCTGTTCACGGTAGTTCTTTTTTTCTTTTTTCTTTCCTCTCTCTCTCTCTCTCTCTCTCTCTTTATCGTAGACAAAAGCGAAACTTCGTTAAATAATAATTTTCTTAATTGAACATTCTATGGGGCTTTTACGTTAGTTCCGTTTGAAGATTATTTTTTTTAAGCAAATTAAGATTTTTCTTTTGGCTTTCTTCAGCTCGTTTCGTAACGAGTGGTTGTTGGGTTTGATAACGGGGATCGAAGATTTGAAAATGTTTATTGAATAAGAAAAGGGATCGTTGAAGTTAGATTGAATATTAACATCGAAGAATTTTAATCTATAAAGCTATATAAATTCGAATTTGAGAATTTTCTCGAACGATGAATTTTTTTGTATTCAAACATCCTCAAACTCGTCACAACTTTTCCAAATCTTGGAAAAAAAACCTTCAAAATTCCCCGAATTTCATTTCCAAAATCTCTACCACCCATCTCCTCATCCCAATAAATTTCTATCTCCCACTAACTAATCTCAATTACGTCGAAACCAAAGAAAGAAAAAAAGGAAAAAGGAAAAAATCGCTTCAAACTCTTGCACGCTATTATTCTTGCGTCAGAGCGAGCCGCGACGAATCGTTTTCTCGGTATAAAGACGAGGTATAAAGCTCGATAAAAAAGGAAAGAGGAAGCGAGGGAAAGTTTGACGAAGAGAAGGAAGGACGAGGTTGGGCAACGAAGGTTGCGGTTTGAAGACAGTTTGCTAGAAGCGCGTCCATGCCACGAATACTCCCACTTGCGAATTATGCGAGATACCCTATCTCTCGCGAGAGAGAGTAACATTTTCTGTGGATGGTGATCCCTGACCCCGAGATCTCGGCCCAAACACCATCCCCGCCTCCCCGCGAGCACTGGGCCCACGCTCTCCTCCACTGCTCTCTTTCGTATCCTCGTCCTTTGACTTTGACTTCTTTGCCGAGAAATCTTCCGACCAGATTGTATTTTCTGTACGAGAATTTTATTCTTCGATCGTATTTTCTTAATCGAAGAAGAATTGAAACAGATCTTCAACTTTTCTTGGTTAAAAGTTGAGAATCGTATTATTTTACATCGCTTGATGTATCATCATTTTTTTTTCTTCGAATGGTTATCAGAAAAATATCATACGTGTATGTTATGGTAAAGATAAATAATATTGATATCGATTTGAAATTTGAAATGGGAAAGAAGGGAAATTCAAGAGTTCTTGGATTTATATATTTTATAGATATTTTAAAAAGATATTAGATCCAAGTACGATTGAATTATTAATGTGTTAAAAAAATTCTTAATAAATAAAAATAAACGTTATAAAAATTCTTTTTTTTCTTTTTAGCAAATCGGATTTAAAATTAAATTTTAATTTGCATATCTTATTATTTTGCGTGGTGATGCGATAAAAGAAGAAAATCTTTAGATCTAGATTTATTAGTAAAGTAAGATAGAAAGCAAATTAGCCAGACACATTTCCATCTTATCTTTCTTTGATCTTCTTTTCTCTATTCTTGGCATAATTTGTAATTGAATCATTAATAATTCTTCTCTCTCTTTCTTCCCTTCTCTATCTATCTCTCTCTCTCTCTCTCTTTCTCTCTCTTCCCATTGCACAGTTTTATATCTATCTATTTATCTTTCTCTCATTTTCATACATTGACGTTCACGCAAATACTGTACTTCTATCATTTTCAGGTGACCCCATGATAACATCCTCTCTGAAGGGTAAGTGACAAATGACAGCTCATACATTTCTCTTCCTTTTTTTTTCTTCTTCTCCTTTTATTCTCTTTCTTTTTTGAAAGATATCTTTTCTTTCTTGTTTTTTTTTCTTTTTTATTCTTTTTGCATCCACTCCCCCAAATACGAACGATCCACGCAAGGATCATCGTTTTATCCACGAATCTTCCCCTAACTTTCTAGAAAGGAGGACAATAGTGGGACGTGTTCTCTCATTTGCATGAATTTTTTTCTTCCGTCTTCTCTATTCACGCTTCTACTCTCTTTCACACACGTAGGAATTAGGAAAGTGCATCGATGCAATTCCAATTTTGACGATTCAATATGGCGATTTATAATGCAACAGTTATTTTTCTTTTTTTGTACGAAGAAAATTTTTATTCTTCGAAATGGAGTTCTTTTTTTTCTTTTTTTTTTTTTTTAATATAAATTTTAATATATAATTTTTTTGAAAATTTGAAAATTCAGAAATTATCGTTCGATAAGATGGTCGATTAGAAAAAGTTAAAAACTATCGTATAATTTAAAATACATTTAAGTTAATTCGTCTCGTTGGAAACGACGTCGATGCATTTTCAAGCAATTAGGCAAATACAGATAGTCCGAGCACTCGTTTTACAAACGTGGTGTATCGGTTAGGTTTAGATAATGACAAGTAGTGGAACACACGATACAAAATATCATTGAAAAAAAAAAAAGCACGATAAGACGATGGCGTTCTATTTCACGAATTTAGAATTTTATTTTGGAATTATTCGAAAGAAAGCAAGGATCTGCCAAATAAGAAATCGAGAATATCGAGGATCTTGCTTTCATCAAATAAATCAATCGAAACACTACATAAAGCACGATTCCTGTTTGAAAGAATTAACTTGTTGTGTGTTGTATGTGATTGTATGTGATTGTGACGAGATCAAGAAAGAAGAAAAAGAAAAGAAAAAAAAACTACGAGGGAAAAAATATAAATCGAGTATAATTTAACTTTCCTAATTTTTCCTAAATTTTTCCTAAAATTTAAATGAAACGTAATAGAAAATTTCAAAAAAGGTAATGAAAATTAGAAAATTTGACGAATCGAAACTTTAAATATTAAACAAAGTTATCGGGAATATCATGAAAATGTCTTGCAAATTTGTAAATTTAAAAAAAAATTCGAAAAATTTCCCTTTCAAAGT